TGTGTGTGTGTGTGTTTATAATAATATATATATATATATTTGTGTGTGTGTGTGTATGTATATCTGTATATACATATGTATGTTCCTATGTATATATATATATTATTGTGTGTGTGTGTATGTTATATATATATATATATATATGTGTGTGTGTGTATGTATAGATATAGATATAGATATATGTATATATATATTTATATATATATGTGTGTGTGTGTGTGTGCGAATGTATATAACTATGTATACGTATATATATATATATGAGTGTGTGTGTGTGAGTCTGTCTATATATATTTATATATATATATGTGTGTGTGTGTGTCTATATATATTTATACATGTGTGTGTGTGAGTGTCTATATTATTTTTATACATGTGTGTGTGTGTGTGTGCGTGTGTGTCTATATATATCTATACATGTGTGTGTGTGTGTGTGTGTGTGCGTGTGTAAATATATATATATGTGTGTGTGTGCGTGTGCGTGTGTGTGTGTATATATAGCATGTATATGAAGCTAGCCATATACCTGCACATGTTAACATTCTATGCAGATTAACAAGACTATGTACACACAAAGTCATTAAATCAAGCGCGTGCAAATATTAAGTATGTAGTTTTTGTTTAAATTTTTTAATTACGTTCTCCTACCTAATAAAAGTACATGTGTTCTAAAATGGAAGGCTCTGTCGTAGTATTGAGCTTCTCAACGAAGTGGAGAAGAAAATGCGTCAGGGTGATCATATGGCAATTAATAATCATATGGCAATTCAAAACATTCGATTTGGATTGGGATTGGGAAAGCTTTTGCCTAGACTCTATTCGTTCGCGTATTTGAGTCAGGAGTAACACAAAGAAAACCTATTGATATGATGGACCGTTCCTGGTTGTCGTATCTTCGCTGTATGTGGATGCACGATTTCAGTGAGGGGATGCATATGCAAAACTTCAGCCTGGGTTATAACGGCGCTATATAATAATACAGAATGAGAAGAGTGGTTGCTGGTGGGAATAGGAAAATATTAAAAATATATCGGTATATATATGTATGTGTGTATGTATATACATGTATATATGTGCATATATGTATGTATATATATATATATATATATATGCGTATGTATGTACGTACGTACGTATGTGCGTATGTAAGTGTGGATATATATATGTATGTATGTATGTATATATGTATGTAATACATATACATGTACATTTATTTATGTATTTGTATACCTATATGTACAATATATATTCATGATTGTATATGTGTATCTGTATATGTATGTATGTATATATATATATATATATATATATATATGTATGTATGTATTAATATATATATATATCTGTATATTTATATTATAGGTTTGTTATCGTTTGGTCGTCTACTGCATTCGATGTGTAACCAAATTATTTGAAACTACTGACAGGAGCTTCATTGTTTATTACGTATTTAGCGAATACACAATACATTGGAGCTGTGGAACCGCAATAAATTCGAAAGAAACCTCTCACTATATAATATGCAGTTGGCTCTGTGGCTGAAAGAAGGTTAACCAGCACACACCACAACTTGCAATGTCAAGATTTTCTGTGTCGCAGATATCCTGGTTACATTTTATTTGTAATTTGGAGTTACAATTGAATAGATTCCCGCAATCCATTTAAAACTACGTCACTGAATTCCGGCGCACTGCGTCGCTTGCCGCTTGGGTTTAGACTGATATTTTAGACCTGACAGTACGGAAGTATCAAATGAAGATTTCAACTACGAAAATATCACTTATTGAAGTCGTGGCCGACGTTAAAGCGACTCCGACAACACCTGGAGCTAGTGCACACCCTTAACTGATAAATACTCCACAACATATTGCTATATCGCCGGCTACAATTCAATACACACTATACTACTCGTATCCCGCAAGCAACCTTCATATGAGGGTGTAACGGCTACAAACGAACCACACAAGAGAATAAAAGTTATAACATCATTCTGAGAGACGAGCGCGTGCGTTCGTATTCTGGTGGAATGAGCTGCAGTGCATCCGCATGAGTAGGGCGTGTATAAGCCAGTATACATAGGTTTGAGGAATTGCTTTTAATAACTGTCACTTTCCAGATACAGTCTTGAGGGATTGCTTTTATTATTCTTCACTATCCAGAGCCACCGATACAAGACGATGTTGGGGCAGGTGAAAATGAATACAGACAGCGTCAAGAGTGTACCATCAACCAACCTCCCCCAGACGTTCAATATAGCCACAGCTGATTGTAATATACAAAGGACGTGTGATTGATTGCACACGCCCAATGCTCTGAGCCGGCAAATACCTTAGATACAGAGCATTCTAGAGGAAAAAGATATATATAATCGCCGTTTCACGACAAGTACTCTCTCTAATTAAGGCAAATTTTCCTGCAAGAAGTTCGACCCCAACCTTTAAACTTACACAATATCTTTTGAACCGGCGTGTACTGTTGATATTGTGCATTCAATCGCTAATACTACCTCGAATAAAGAATCAGTATTCTGCAAAAAGAACTGGCTACGAGTAATCTCCCTAGATTGGCCTAGTTTCAAAAAGAACTTTGATATTAATATTAGCAATCAGATGTAAAACGAACTCAATCTCTGCAAACAAGCAACATATATAGAACTAGCATGTAAACAGCAGACTATGAGATGCTATGCCAGATAAAACAAAAGAACGTTAAAGGCCTAAATCACCAGAATTCAAAAAAGTATATCCGCTTACAAACGCTGGCGATAAAAAAACCCATATTCCTCAAAATGAAGACACGAGCAACGAAGTCTTTAACCTCCAGAAGGTCAGAAGCGTAAAATATATTAAAAAGCGAACATGTCCAAGAATAAGTACATTTATTAAAAAAAGAATCTTAATAGCATACTAACCGGTAATTTATGTTGAGGCAGGCGAAAATGCATACAGACAATAAGAGAGTGTATCATCAACCAACCTCCCCCAGACGTTCACTTTAGCCACAGCTGTATTTAATATACAATGGACGTGTGATTGATTACACACGACCAATGCTCTGAGCCGGCATACAATACTATCCACAAAACACGTGCAAAAGCTGAACAATGATAAAATACGTGCAAAAACATGAACCCAACTACCTCACTGCGCTCCAATAAAAATATCAAAACAAGGGGATTCGATTCACAATTTATATTCCATGCAGCATTTGTTGTACATGCACTAAATTTAATTGTGGCTGACCTGCCATACACGGATCACGGAATCAGTGTAACCGGCGTATAGGGTCTCTCCATCAGCCGACCAGGCAAGAGAGATGCACTCGATGACTCCAGTACCCTGCTTGCTGGTGTCGATGACAAGCTCATCAACAACATTCTTGGATTCTAGATCCCAGATCTTGATGATGGATCCGGCCGCCGCGCACAACCAGTATCGGTTGGGGGAGAAAGCTAGAGAGCTGCAAGCGGTAAATGTGGATTCATGTGTGAGTAGAAGAAATAGCATATAAACACAGTGAATAAGCACACACGCGAGCTCAAATATTGGTGTAAAGCAAATCAGCACAGAATAGAATCGTGACAAATATTCCTAGTATAGATGGCCTCATAACGTGTAAGTGTCTAACATCCAGATCTTCAGACATATGCTTGTCAATTACGGATCATCATTGGCCATCTGGTACTAGAAATCTACCAACCTTTCAATTCGATATTCAGTTATTCACAAATTAAGCCAGAAAAGCGTACCACGCAAAATGGAATCAGCTCAGCACTAAAATCGTATGAACATATACTGGCTACTTACTATATAATGCCTCCAGCATCCAGAGTGTATAGGTGCTTGCCGTCATCGTTCAAGTCCCAAAGCATGGCCTGTCCGTCCTTGCCTCCAGACGCGCATAGCGAACCATCGGGTGACACGGCAACGGTGTTAAGGTATCCGGTGTGTCCGATGTGGTTGGTGCGGAGTTTGCAGTTGCTCAAGTTCCAAACCTTAACTAGCTTATCCCAACCGCATGACACGATGATGGGGCTGGTGGTGTTGGGGGAGAAGGCGACGCATGATGCCCAGTGGGTGTGGCCATCCTCCTTTTGGTGCCAGACAGTCCCAAGTATCACGGAAGACAAAGTAAAACAAATTGGTTGGTGTGTGTAGCACGTTGTAGTCTTTCATGGGGACTTCGAATTCTCCGACCGGCACCTTGCGAACAAACAAAAGGTCCATGCTCATTATACCGCCACCTATTCCCAGCGAGGAGAATAATAGTAGTGGTTATGAGGGGACAGATCGAATGCCGTTCGGTTCACCGTCGCCAAGAATGTCCACCGACTCGATATCCTTCCATTGACGTTCAACAGGCTCGTACTACCTTAACACAGCACAACCTCGTTTAATCCATGGACTTCCGAGAGCTGCGTGCACTAGTGTGATACTCACCCCATCCCGCCAAATAGAACACAAGCCTCACGGCACTGTGATATCCTACTACTAACTGCGTTCGCCCATTGGTGCAAAACAGACCTTTCAGTTCAAGTCTGATGCAATAATATTGACAATAAAAACACAAACACGATCCCTAGCATCAAAATCGACCATTAAGGCAGAGCAAACCCAACTAATACAAAATCAAGACTATGAATCAACAGGTAAAAAATGACCATATAACTTACGGAAATGGTGAACTTGCACTCTCCAAGAGTGTTCCACAGCTTAATGGTCTTATCTCTGGATCCAGATACGATCTGACGGTTGTCGGCAGAGAAGGCAACAGATAGAACGGCTCCGGTGTGTCCAATGAAACGACGGGTGGTCTTACCGGTGGCAAGGTCCCAAAGACGCAGAGTCTTGTCCCATGAACCAGATAGGGCGAACTGTCCATCGGATGAGATCACAACATCGGAAACGAAGTGTCCGTGACCGTGTAGACGGCGCTTGGCTACACCCTGCTTCTCCTGGTCCTGGGGGGTCAGGAGCCAGACGATAATGGTCTTATCTGTTATGTGTATTGTGCATTATACATGGTTAAGACTATGTTTTCTAAAAACGTCAGACGGAGACTAGTCTTGTGAGTTGTGGGTATGTATGATACAAAATACCAGAAAATTGACAATCGCAGTTCATGTGCGCATCTCGCAAATGCGTTGGAACCTTGGGTGTTCACTGATGTCTAAGGTTTTACCATACATGCCCTTCACTGTCAACTCTGATAGAAGCAGCACACAAACGGTATCTCTTAATTTATAACAACCAGCAATTTCTGAACTATTATATATATCTATCGCTTCTGCTTTGGTGGCATACTATACGCAAAGTATAGATCCGATACAACGCTGTAACCCAAAGAGTGTGCTGGGTGCAACAGCTACACAAAAGATCTGACCGTTGTCCGACTATCGCCACTACGATTGAACGTTGAGCTGTTGAAGTCGAGTGCATGAAGGGAATACATGGCCATCTATATCGCTATACACGCCAACGATGACGTGATACTGCTCACCGACGAGCTTAAGTTAAAACGTACTATTTGGTGGCAAATACATATTCAAAGTAGAAGCAGTTCGTCACTCACTGTGCATTTGGTTATATTTTTTCCAATGGGTCGGTAGTGGTTTGCACGTGTTGGTTGCTGCTTGTGCCTAATTGACAATTGTTGATGTGGTTTGCTGGAAGATCTAAGACTTCTGATTGACTGGCTTGCCTTTCGTACCGTCAATCTAATACGATATGATCGTGGACTGATTCTGCAGTTCCTTCCACATGCGCCAGCAATGCCTTAGGCGGTTTCCATCACTTAATCTCTCTTTCTATTAAACGTGCGTGTATAACAATGGGGAACAGTACATACCACGCGAAGCGGAGACCAACAGATCGGGGTACACGGGGGAGGAAGCGATCTTGGTCACCCATCCGGCGTGACCCTTCAGGTTTCCATAGTGTCTAAGAGATTCAGCCATTGTGCACAACGAGGAAAAAGAAGGAAGCATACATTTATGCTATTCATATTATATTGTATTGCTTGAGATTTGAGAAAGGCGAGGTGTATCGCACATTACAGTTGCTGCGAATGAGCCATGGATGAGCATTGATGCCATGCGCATCAAATTGCGGTTTTTTGTTGTTGTTTTTTTTTGAAAATATACCAGTCTCTACAATCCGGTAGGTAGTTGAAGGATTGGGATAAATATTTATGTATTCGAGCGCTGATAATTGTATAGAAACTGGCTTGGAGTCTCAAATATGTACCGCTGGAATGTTTTTTTTACTACGTTTTCCATTTATTATATATGAAGTGGTAGAGGAAATTTATTATTTCGATACATAATGGAAACATTTACGTATTCACCAGCTACGGCAACCAAATTTTATATTTATAGATAGCCTGTTCCACTACTATCTAATTATTTTTTAAATTAACATACCAACTGCAACCAGAGAGCGAAGATTGCTGCATTAAAAAAATTTAAAGCCAAAACAACATCCAAAGTAAACAACGAGATAATGATAAACAGTCACATACACACAAAAATATAACCATCGACATAAAAGATTCGCAACACAGTTTAGATTAATCGTTAGATTCATCACCTCATATCATATACGCAATGGCTGACCAATTGACTGAAGAGCAAATCGCAGAGTTCAAGGAGGCTTTCTCCCTGTTCGATAAGGGTATGTGCTGGTTTTCATAGTGGAGGTGTTCTTTGCGGCATATCTGTACATCTATGTTTCTGTACACAGTATCTTACAAGCAGGTTGTTAGCGTGCCTGACGCCCCGAATATGTCTAATAAATTGTTGCGTATCTAACTAAATATAGATGGAGATGGCACAATCACAACCAAGGAGCTTGGCACTGTTATGCGGTCCTTGGGACAGAACCCCACCGAGGCTGAGCTACAGGTGTGTACAATTTAAATGTCACCAGCAGTTTATCAAGAGTTCGTTTATTTGATGCTTTTCGGATAGTATATATTGAAATATGGTTATTTCTTAAGATATATCTTTTTCTTTCGTAGGATATGATTAACGAAGTTGATGCGGACGGTAATGGAACCATCGATTTCCCCGAGTTTTTGACCATGATGGCCAGAAAGATGAAGGACACCGATTCTGAGGAGGAGATCATCGAGGCCTTCCGTGTGTTCGACAAGGATGGAAACGGTTTCATCAGGTATGTATCCTTTTTTATGTCATATTTGTTTCGGCCTATGCTGTTCCTGTTGCTAACCTTCACGTCATTCTGACCGTGTTGGTCGGAAAGTGGCAGAGTGTGCGTATTTTATGAATATTCGTATCGATCATGACTAGCATCCCTATTCTTAAACGCCAAATGCAAACACTTTTAGACAAGCATGATTTAACTGAAAATATAACAATGTAATTGTATCAGTTCTGTGCCCACAAACCTCAAATCAAAAATTATTTCAACTGTCATATACAATTGGTATATCAGTGCCGCTGAGCTTCGCCACGTCATGACCAGTCTCGGTGAGAAGCTGACAGATGAGGAGGTCGATGAGATGATCAGAGAAGCCGACATTGACGGCGACGGGCAAATTAACTACGAGGAATTCGTTAAGATGATGACTACCAAGTAAAGAGTTTTAATATTGTTCCATCTGTGCTTGATAAGTTTATATACACGTGACGAAATAAAATAGTAAGATCGGGGTTCCTTGGGCACCTTTTTCGAATCGCTTATGTGGTGGGTATGTCGAGTTGGTCGTGCTCAAGCCACTAACAATATTTCTCACTGACTACGAGATCTAGAAATATGATTAGCCGTATGCAACTGCTATTATCAAAGTAAATACTCTAATACCGCTTCATTGGGTTTACCCTTCCGCCCAAGCACTGAAAAGTTAAGGGAAGTTCGAACTGGCAAACCCTAAACGCCCAGTCGCATCACATGGAGTGACCTCCTCTGCCAGTTAATCATGATAATAGAAGCTGAGTATTCACACAGTACTAAAACCTTTGGCAGCAGTAAAAGAATCTACAAGCATACGACCTAATGACGTACATTAACAAATTTGAATAACTTGAGTAATATATTTACATATATATGTATGTATGTATTTGTAAATGTGTATGTATGAATGTATGTATGTATATATATAAATATGTGTGTGTGTATTTTAAATATATATATATATTGATGTATATGTATATATATATATATATGTAAATATATATATATATATATACATATTCGTATATAATAGATATATATATGTGTGTGTGTGCGTGTATATAAATTAGATATATATATGTGTGTGTGTATATATCTATACGTGCGTATGTGCGTGTGCTCTTGCATATATGTGTCGTGTATATATTGATTTGTATCAAAACGTAACAGACAACTCTGATTATTGTGTATTGCTACATATTTGTGTACAACTACGTGTGTGTATACATATTTTATATTCATTGGTGTGTATAATTGTATCAAGTATTTAGTTTGAAAAAATTATTTATGTATATGGGTGTATGTGTGTATAATCGCATATACTTATTTGGTTTGAAAAATTCATGCATATGGGTGTATGTGTGAGTATATATGTGTATATGTATATGGGTGTCTATATTACACGTAGCTCAAGGAATATACATTATATAGTGCTCCGCATAAATTTCATATGTGATCATATTTCAATTTCGAATACAACCATTGCTTGGAGTACTTACACTTGTTATAGACGAGCATGCATTAATACAGTCAGCATGTACGGCATAAAGTGTTCATTTCTATTGGACATATATAACTGTGTAAATACATTTAGTGCTTCTATAAGTATGTATGTGAGTATATATGATACAAATACATGAACACGTATAAATATGGATTTTGTTTACTAATTTTTATTCCATGAATTTCTTATATTCGTATTTGTACATGTATCTATACATAGATATGTACAAATAGTATTTGAGTGTCTAGTGTATGTCTGAAGATCATTATTTATAGATACACATAGGAGTACATATACACAATATTCAGTTTTATCAATAAATGTTTAACTAGATATGTTCGGAAATTAAAATGTATATATAATCATACGAATATGCGTGTATATACAATATATATATATATGTGTGTGTGTGTGTGTGTGTGTGTGTGTATGTATATATATATATATATATATATATATATACGACGACACACACACACACACACACTACTCTCTCTCTCTCTCTCTCTCT